CACTTCCTGGAAGAAAAAATAAATGTTTAAAAAGAGTTAGAAATTTACTCATTAGAGTGTTTAAGAAAAACATTATTAAGAAAGCTAGTATAAGATCCTCACTTCTTACATAACCTTTGATTAATTTAGTATCTCCGCATACTAAAATATTAAATTAATTAAAGACGTTATATTAAAAGTATATATAGTTTATTTAATTTATGTCATTATAATTAAACAAAATTCATATAATGTACTATACATTGGACTTGAAGTAATAATCAGTCCAAAGTATAGTACCTAAATCTATAAAAGGGCTACAAGATTCGTTATACAAAGTATAGTTCTTTTATTATTAAATTCTTTTTCTTTACATAGTTTTTCCTCTAGTTTAGTTTTGTTTTGTTTTGTTTAAATTAAAATATACACAACTTTTAAAATAAGTTTTAAACATTGTTCTTAAACTTTGTAACAAACAAAAACATATTAAAATGAACTTTAGCGCTAGATATTTTTTCAAAATATATGGTGAATGTTATATGACAAAGGACTTCTATGGCTCAAAAAATAAAGTCTAAACCTTTGCTTTAAGAAAAAGAAACATCAAATAAAAGGAGGAATAGTATAATAAATATTACAATTGGAATATAAATGACTAGAAAAAGATAATCTATACAGATTATTTAAAAAATCAGCTGTATTCTAATAAGCAACCCATTCTTTACTATCCAAAGAAAAATGAAAGACTAAACCCAAAAAATATCAATAAAATGCTTAATTTCGGTTGTGTTTCCATAATTCTATGAGGATTTATAACATAAAGTAGTGTTGAAAAAAAAAGAAAACAAAAAATATATAGACTGAAAAAAGATATAATACATTTTGGTACAATTGGAGAAATATTCGATGAATATTGATGATACGATCATGCAGTAGGACAACAATCCAAAGTATTCTGAAAAAGTAATAAAAGAATGACTGTATACCCACAGAATAATCAAACTATACTTTTTATCGCAGTTTCTAGATATGAAGCTGATTGAAAGTTGTTTGGGATGTGTCAAGAACGTTATATCAAGGAAACACAAAATCTTATCAAACAAAGGTAATTTGTCGAAAAATGTTTCTAGAAGCTATACTAAGAAATTTTATCTTTTGATAACCCAAAGCTTGAAGGGTTAAATAGTACAGAGTGAATAAATCAACTTTTAAAGAAATATACATTTACTGAAATATTTTAAAACATAGTCTATAGCAACAAATGGCATCTACATTAAAACAAAATAAAATATTAAAACAGTATAATATACACATATATAGAAAGATTGATATATTGTTACTAGATTATTGCAAAATAAAAAATAAAAAATAAAACATTCACCATGTTTAGCTTCCTATAGAGTTGATTCTAAAAAATACTTTATTCTGGTAATTGTTTGAATGGTAATAACTACAATATAAAAGCTATTTTATTAAAATATATTTACTATGAAAAAAAAAAGAAGTCTTGTAGACAATTTTTTTTTTAAAAATATAAAAAAAAATCTAGATAGCAAAAGATGAAAATTATTGAGAAGCTTGTTTTTTCAAAAGAGATTTTCTTAGTTTTTCCTTGTACTCTTTAATATCACCTTCAAAGGTGTTGATTTCTCCACCTTCACAAAGCCATAGTTCTTTCGCAACCTGGCTGATTAGACGGAAGTCGTGAGAAACAAGCACAATACCACCTGAGAACGCGTTGATGGCTTCAGCAAGCGAGTCGATAGATTCTATATCCAAGTGATTAGTAGGTTCATCAAGCAAGATAATATGTGGTTGTTGCAATGCTAACTCACAGAATACTAATCTGGAACGCAGACCGTGGGACAAGGTAGCAATCTTGGATGTTTGGTGACTTCCAGTTAGACCGAATTTGCCTAGATATTGTCTCCAGAAGTCGGTATCTGAGCTTACTTTGCTAAAATTGTCTCGCATATATTCAACTGGTGATTTGTTAAGATCGAGTTGGTCTGCTGAGTGCTGGTTGTACTTCCCAACTTTAAGCTGGTTGTGTCTTACGACTCTGCCAACAGTAGGCTCAATTTCGCTCATGATGAGCTTGAGCAAAGTAGATTTTCCAGTTCCATTAGGTCCAAGCAGAGCAACACGGGAATCCATATCTACAGCCAAATTTACATCGTGGTAGAGGGCATGTTTAACATTTCCATCGTAAGAGAAAGCAACATTTTCAAAACTGAGTACTGGAGGGGGTAGTTTTTCAACATTGGTGAACTTGAAGCTATATTTAAGTGGTGGGATAACCTTTTCAATCAGTCCAGCGGCTTCCATCTTGTCGATAATCTTTTGTTTGCTTTTAGCTTGACGAACAAGGTTAGCATAAGTACCAGCTGAAGCAATGAATTTCTTGATGTGTTCGATTTCTGATTGTTGTTTTTCGTAAGCCTTCATCTGGTTAGCTTCAAGCTCAGATCTTGTGCGGACATAGGTATCATAGTTTCCACCATAGTATACAAGTTGGTGCTTGTGATTCATATGGATAATGTTTGTGCACACGCTGTTCAAAAAGTCTTGAGAGTGGGAAACTAGGACAAGGATTTTATCGTAAGATCTAAGGTACTCTTCAAGCCAGACTACAGCCTCAAGATCAAGATGGTTTGTGGGTTCATCAAGTAGAAGTAAAGTTGGGCGAATGAAAAGAGCCTTGGCAAGAGCAACTCTCATTCTCCAACCACCAGAAAGATCCTTTGTGGGTTTTGCAACCATTTTCTTTGAGAAACCAAGACCGTGCAAAAGTTCAGCAGCTCTGGGTTCAAAAGTGCTTGGGTCGAGAAAATCGACTCTTTCGTACAAATCTTCGATAATAGGATTATCAGCACCACCATCCTCAGCCAAAAGATGTTCAATCTCCTTTTCAATTCTTTCGAGTTCTTCTTTGGCATGTTTAACAACATATTCAATGGGAGTGAGTTGGGTAGGTTCAGCTTCTTCGTTGAGAACATATGAATCGATCTGTTCTGGAAGTTTTATATCTTGCTGACCAAGAGACATCAGGAAAGTAGATTTTCCAGAGCCATTAGAGCCAATAAGACCATATCTACGACCATAGTTGAGTTCTATAGTGGAGTTTTGGATAAGTGAGCGACCATAGTACGACAAGGAGTAGGATTCTATTTTGATATCACGAGAACGTGGCTGGGAGGTAAGAACACCAGTAGCAGTTCTTGATGCGTGAAGACTTAGCTGTTTTGTTTGTTCATCAAGCTCAGAGACTATCGAATTTATTTTAGCAGTATCCTTGGAGGCACCCTTCTTTGCCTTTGCTGCTTTGGCAGCTAATCTTTTTTGTTTGGATGCGGAAAGAGACATTGTAAAATATAGAAAAAAAATAAAAGGCGTATAATAATATAAAACAAAAGTATATGAAATAGCTATGTATATATATATGAACTACGGAAAAGCCAGCAAAGAGTATGAAGGGAAGGAAGTTTACATAGACACACTTTTTTTTTTTCTTTTGATGTATATCTAAATGGAAACAAAAAATTTTTTATTTTTTTTCGCCAATTATTATTATTTTTTTTTTCACGAGGGATGATAGTCGTTTTCTTGAAAGAAAAAAAAAACTATACGAGTTGAGGATTGGCTGCAGTTTTTTTGTATCCATAAACGCTATAAAGCCCATTTCATCCTCGTATTTTATTGGATGAGAATGAAAAGACGCCTATTTAAGATGGGTCTTCTTTTTCTACCCAACCAGGCCATACAAAGATGGTGGTGAACAACAATATTGGGAAACAGAGTCAA